CATTTGTGCAATTCATTAAGAGAGAGTTTACCAAAGTAAAGTTGTCTTACGAGAGTTATTTATGCTAAGTGAAGATAGCGTAAAAACGTTAAAACACAAAGAAGCAAGGATGCATCTTTCGGTATCTTACCAACTATTGAAGCAACTCTTATCATCAAATTCTGGAAAAAGATCATCTTATGATGGAATCGAGTTTGATGGTGCATAAGAAGGGCATATAAGCGGTGAAAAACTCTGATAGTCTAAATAGGGAATTCTCACCAGATCGCTTAGCCTAGGGTCGATAAACCGGCCTACCAATTTAGGATAAGCATCAGTGTTTAGTTTTGTAGATGCGTTCTGTTTTATAAGGTTTTCACTGAGTTCATCAGGCTTTGAGTGGGCCCCGATGCCCAAGTTCGACTCGAATTGGTCGGTTAATTTGTCAAACGTGGGTAAAGATGGCGCTACGGCTGATGAAGTTGTCTCTAATGCTAGGGCTGGTAGCGTTGAAGAAGATGAAGATGATGAAGCTGATAAAATGACTCCAGGCTTTTGGCAGGAGCTGAGGTCTGGAAGAGATGAAAGTAGAGTCGGTACTTTAGCAGGAACCGTAAGGTGAAGTCTAGGCCGACGAAGATAAAAGCGTCCGTTGTCTCTGAATTCAGTCGATGAAACAAATAGGCTTTCTGAGACCGAAGATGAAGAAGGCAGCCAAGTAGGTTTGGCTGCGTTTGCATGCGCCAAATCAATGCAATGAACAGTTAGGACTACGATGACGCTGGAAATATTAATAAAAATCAGAGAGAGTAGAGAGATAAAATCTGGGGGATAGAGGAGAACAATTTAGTTAAACTGGTCATTAATAAAGTGGTGAGAATAAAAAGAATGGTAATTCGCTTTATGCATTAATAAAACATGTAGGACCAACAAAAATTCGAAAAGGTGCCTCTATAAATAAGTGTAATGTTGAAAAAAAGCGAATGTATTATTTCATGTTAAGCGAAATAAAGGGATGGAGCTCGGACAAATGGGATTGCAAGGAAAACGCCTTTGGGGAACAGAAAGGAGTTAAAAAAATAAGAATTGCTTACATTAATTAGGAATTAAAAAATGGTAGAATTTTAGGATAGTTTGTTGCAGAAAGCAAACTAGAAAGATATTATTACACTGGATGAAGGAACAGAAGGATGAACCAACAAGCGAGGCTTGTGCGTGGGGAAAGAAAAAGTGACAGACTGACGAAAGAAGTTATCATTATGCTATATAGTGTTAGAGTGGGCGAACGAATAGCACAATAAATAGCTATCTCATTCGTCGAATCAATGAGCAAAAAAGATACAGCAAGAGTAGTACAATAATCACAAGTTGAATTTAATTAAGATTTGGAGGTTGTGATTTTGTGGCTGATATGCCTCCCCTTAACGATAATTAACTCAGTATACGATCTAGGATCGTAAGAAAACGTAAATACAACGGCAGAGGTAACAATATGGTATATGTATTTGAAGTACTGTGAAAAAACTTAATAAGTACAGCATTCATTCGCTGGATAGCATATTTTTCCTAGCGAAAATAACTATGATACAAATAATTTCCAGAAATGCTTTTAACATTAAGTTTGGAAAATATTGTTGGACGTCGCGAGCAAGTAAGTCTATTTTAGATTGGCACGACTATTCTGAAGGAAAATGGAAGCCAATCTAGTTTATGAACGAAGCAAAATATCCGAAAATATATTGTTGCAAGTGTTATTGTGGGTAAGAGTAAGCTGTCAAATCTGCCGAATTAACAATCAACAATTCAATCGAGACAGTCTAAGATTCTATTTAATGGGCTAATGATGAAATTTGAGTATTTGGCCGAACTCATAGTAGGTTTGTGGCCAGGTTTGCGGAAGGCATTAATGTGGCCATTTTGAACACTTGCTTTATTAGTTATTCATGTACCATGAGACAATAAGGCTTGATAATGATCCAGCTGAGTCTCAGCCAGACGCAAAATAATGCCTCAGTCAAGTACAGGAAAATTAAAAGCAGTAGTTTTAGGCAGGCCTTGGTGCAATCCTGATCTTCAGACTTGCATTATTTGTCAAGCTCCTACATATAACATATTTAAAGATTGCAAAGCAATATACCAAATTAGTTTAATTATTCAACGAAGAAATCTTTTGTAAAATTAAGCCTTCAATTTCTCATAAGCGATAAAAAGATGCAAATTTGCGTTTGTTAGACCCCAAAGAGCATATTTAATTGTGATATATAAGGTATAGCAAACGAAAATAGCAGCTTAATGTAGAGAAGTATTGCGCAGTTGCCTAGTTTAATCTTTTGAATATCCTTCTCAGTACATTTTCATTTTATTTATTAGTAACTTCATTTAAAAAAACTTGCTGAAAATAAAAGGAGACACAAATAAAGCTAAATGATAACGGCATATATGCTGAATCAGTAACTTCTGAAATAAAATTATATTCCGAAAATTAATTTATCAAAAATAAAAGTCAATACACATTTTGCTGTCATAAGTTTTGTAGGTAGCAACGCCTGAGTTAGATAATTAATTTACATTGAAGAAGTAAAATAAATCCAAGGAAAAGCATCGACAGAGAAAGCTGTAGAGAGTGAAATAAATATGTATTTACAAATCGATGGCTTACAATAAATTTTCGACGGGGTATATTTTGAAGTCGAAGTCAAGCGGCTTAGTGATGGAGATCGGAAGAGGAGATAATCGTCCAGATGGAAGAAGAAGTGCAAACTGACAAAATAACAAAAAAATAAATCAGGAGAATTTATCGAGCTCATTTAAGTAAAGTAAAATATTTTAAACGTTTTCTATCTGGATGCACCAGTTTTGATCGGTTTACTATTTGACTGATTGCGAATCAGTCCAAGATGAAATGAAGGCTTCGGCTTTGCATTCAATTTGGGGACAATCAGTGATTCTTACCTAAGAGATCAGTCAGTCTTGGTCACTTGAGGTGATTTCTAAAGACTGATAGCTAAGCCTTCCCACGGTGAAATGGATAGACCTCATAATGCCACTGGATTTTACTCAGACTTGCCTTCCATTAGGCTAACGCCCTCCGGCTAAAATGTACTGCAGTTTCGACCTCGACTATGTCTCATCAGCCCCCTCAGCGAGATTCGATGCTGGGTCGTGAAGATCGTGGCGATGTCACCACTCCACTCGAAAGCACTGCCGCTGGTACCAGTAGGCCACAGAGCCGAAGCTACATTTAAAACAAGTCAGGTCTTTTCCGACTCACATTTTATAGTGGGATTCTCGATCAAGCTAATATATGTTTGCCATTCCAATCGATGACGCTACTTATTTTCGATATTAGTAGCTTTCAAGACTATGAATAATTCTGGAAGGTATGAAGACCAAGATGGTGTGGCCTTTTGTGTGGTCGCAGTCTCCTTTCGTTGTATAGAGGT